GCCACAGGGTGAACCTCAGACATCATGTCTGCAGTGTCGCACTAGCTTCTGTGGGACACATTTTGGGAACTTCTGCTGGCAAGGGTGTTCAAGGAGTTGCGTCTGTGGGGCTGCTGCATCTGCTGATTGAATTGGACAGCACAATGGAGTTCCTCAGTGGTGCCTTAAAACTGTGTGGTTCACAGAGAAGAGAGTTTTAGAAGAAACCATGTACCGCCCTGATGAATATCTAGTATCATCAGATGAAAAAATATCCAAGGATGGTGGTGAAGACTGAGTCCTCAGAGGTAGTTTCAGTGTCTGCACTGCAGCTTGAGACATATTTTAAACATTTAGAAGATTAAAATGTAAATATTTAAATATATATTTTTTTGTGTGTATGTGTATAAGTCTTAGTGGCATTCATGCAGGATTTTAAGAAAGATTGGTGAGCATTTGTATTTTGATGCCAGGACTGGCCTGTATTTCGAGGGAATTATGTATAGTTGGGGCACACTTTGCTCCACAGATGTCATCTCAGTCATATTCCAGGGACACATATACTCAGGGAAGGAGAAGTAGGACTTGATTTGGCCCAAAACACTGTATTTTTTCTATTTCTTCATTTTTAGCTGAACCGTTTCATATGTTTTAGTATGGAGGTACTAGAAATCTTGTAAATAAAACTTGGGAGACTGAGCTGTCATCTTAGGAGACAAGAGGCACTGCTTGAGTCTTTCTTATCCTACTTGGTTGCAGACACGAGCCTGAGCCTTGGAAATGTAGCTTTCCCCCTCCCAATGAGTGATGTTGGAGACACAGCTCTCTTCATCATTGCTTGTGAGCATTTTCTCAGAAGGATAATTGCATTTTTGTCTGAAGGATGCCCAAGGGAGAATATGTTACCATCAGTGCAATTCCTGGCCTGTGTCCACTGTCTCAGCAAGTTGATCCTCCCTCTCCTCCTCTTTATGCCCAAGTACATAGACATTCATTCATATCCTCGGTCTAGACTGTCCCAGGTTTGCTAAGTGTCATACCATCTTGGACTTCATTCCCATGAGCTGGTCCTCAAAGGAGCCAACTTATTTCTAAATATGTTAAAGCACACATGTATATTAAAGCAAAAACCCCTTTAAAGAAAAAAAAAAACCTTTTTTTTAAATCTTAGTAATGTAGGTAAAATAATTCCCCTCTCCATTGTAATCATTATTATTTTTCTTTTGTAACCCTGGAATTTAAGAATACGCACCAGCCCCAGTGGGGCAGAAGGCAGAGGAGTTCCTCTTCCCTTAGTGCTCTAAAGGTCATATTAAAATGTGCTATATGCTGTTGCTGCAGTCTTGATGCTTGCAAACAGAAGACACTGAAAGCTAGTCCTAAGTGAGTTGGATGTTTGCTGTGCTGGCCTGTCATGTTCAAAATGAGTCTCTGAAGCAGTAAGTGAAGACCCTGGGCATGGAGACTCTTGTCTCTCTGTTCCTGTGGGGATGCCCTGTGCTTGCAGGCACTGAACCAAGGGTTTAAGGATGCCTTTGTATTTTGTTTTTTTTAAAGGGGACTTTGTCATGGGAAAACCTCATTCCCGTTGGCCTGTCGGTCTCATTGTCTGCTTGGTTGCAGTGATTTTATAACTTTAAGCTCTTTTGAAATAGTGTCTATTTTTGTAGAACGGATGTCCTTCATAGGGTAGAAGGAAAAGCTTCTTGTTCCTGGTTACAGCAGCATGTTCCTGTTTATGCTCAGAGTCCAGAGCATTTTGGGGAAAATAACTTACATTTTTAAAAGGGTCATTAACATAGCGATGGTCTTGTGGATTTTGTCTTAGGAAGTACTTTTGGGGAGGTTAGCAGTGATGGCACATCAGGTTCTGAGAAAATGGAAACTTGGAATGTTTTAGGTGACTTAGTGCTTCTGCAGTTTGTTTTCTACAGTTTGTTGAAGTAAAACTTCATCCACTGACTATGTAGGGAAAATGAACGTTACGATCCAAGAATATATACTTTGCAGTAGTCATCCATTCTCTATGTGCCTTGGATAAAGTCTAACTGTGGGATTCTGTAGACATGCTCCTGTGCTGGCTGCAGGCTCCTGCTGCTGCTGCTGCTGCTGCTGCTGCTGCTGCTGCTGGCTGTGGGCCCCTGCTGCTGACTGCAGGCTCCTGAGGCTGCTGGCTGGAGGCTTCTACTGTTGTGTCATGCTCCTATCTCATCTACCCTACTTCCTTTTCCCCCTCTCTTCCTGGCTAGCTCTGGAGAGGCAACCTTGGCTAACTAGTATCTACTAGATTTTAGCAAAGACTGTCTGTCAGCTAAGAGGAAGTAAATGGTGAGTTAGGATAACAGACCCTTAGGCCTTCCACCCAACAGCTTTCTATGGCAGTCTTGAGTTTTTTTCTTGTCCTACTGTAAGCCTCATATTGTTCAGAGGTTGGCTTGGACCTTAGAGGTGCAGGGAGCTCACAGACAGTTCTTGCCCCTCAGTTGTCTCAGTTGCAGTCCTTAATTATTGGTAAATGTAGCATTTGAGAAATGTTCAAACTCAGATTGCTCCTTCCTTTGATTTGTATTCTGTAGTCATGCTCTTTTCATTCTTCTGCTGGGTCAAAGAGCAGAGGTTTCCTGATGTACATCAAGCTGTGTCTTTAGGGGTCAGGGACACATTGCATGCTAGTTGGCGGCTAGTGAGGCACTAATTTCTTCTGTGCAGTTAGGAAGCTTCAGGGTCATTGAGAAACTACTTGTTAAAGAATCTAGGCAGCATTGCTTTCTAGGTAGGAGAATGTATAACTCTGCCATCTTATTATAAGCTCCTTCAGCATAAACCATATGGCTTTTGTGGGCCTTACTCTAAGAGTAACAGAAGAAACTAGATGTGAGGGTTGAGTCGATTAAAAAGGTTTGTGGTCTATTTAGATCTATAAAACACATGAGACAGCTAGTGAGTGAGATGGCTCAGCAGTTAAGAGCACTGGTTGTTCTTCCAGACGACCTGAATTCAATTCCTAACACCCATGTGGTGGGCTCACAACTGTTCATAACTTGAGTTCCAGGGTACTTACTGCTCCCTTCTGGCCTCTCTGGACACTGCATGATTGTGGTATACATAAATACATGAAGATAAAACACACACACACACAAAAATATAACAAATACACCTAAAAACAAAGCAAAACAAACCCAAAAGTAAACAAAACAATTATACAGGATTTTATGGTCATGTATTGCTTGAGTGGTGTTCATTTAAAACTACCCCCACAGATGTAGGGGACAGTGTAAACCACGCCTGCTAGAAGCTGGGTACAGGTGTAGCCTGACAGACGTGGTCAAGGTGAGGTCAGGATGATGCATAATAGGGTTTTTAGGGGCTGCAAGGCACATAGGAGCCCTTCTCTCTGGCCTGCCTGCCTTGCTGCCCCTGACACGCTCTGGCTTGTGTTTGGCTGGTGTTTATCTAAATAAAGATATCTTAATCATACAGACTATGATGGTCTTGTAATACACAGAAATTGTGATTATGTGTGGTATTTAATTTATGCAGTTCTATATGTTTAGAAGGCAAGTCTCCTTAAAAAAATAATGCCAGACATCAGTAATATAAAGCATTCTGACTTTCACTTCCTTCCTGTATTCTGTGTTTTGTGCAGCAGACTCAGTGACAACTTGTCAACACATTCTCTTATGTCAGGAGACTATATTCCATTGTTCTCTATTTGCAAGTTATGCATATTGCCTTAAATAAATACTGGTGGTAATTATTGGTAGGCTAGATATACTCTATACGTATATGCTATATATTGACACTCAACTTTTTAAGTACATATATCATACCAACATACATGGTACACATGACATAACTTACTCAAGAATATGACCTTGAAACAACTGTGGTGTTATGAAACTGGCTGATTAACACAGTGCCTTTGGTCAGTGAGCTGACTCTTTTTATGTTGGTTTTCCAGAGTTTAGGTGAAGGTGCTTTTGCTGCACAGGGCCTGTGTTTTGCTGAGGCTCTCTGGTTGCCTTTGATTCTGTCTCTGAGATCCCAGTTATTGCTCCTATTATGTATCCTTCAGACTTCTCTTTCCTAGACAGGTTTTGAAAGTCTTGTTACTTTCTGATACATTTTTGGTCACTCAGTGCGAACTTCCTGCTTGATAATGCATGTGGATAGTTTTGTGTGTTTTCCTTGACAAAAGCAGTACAGGTATCAGGCATACAGGTGACTCAGTGGGAAAACGAGTGATAGTGGTTGTACTCCATACTGGTGTCTTGTTCACCTGAGAAGGGTAAATAGCAGGATTTGCGTGTTGTCACTTTGTACGGCTGTTGCTCAAAAGGGGGAGTTTAATTGGAAACCCCTAACAATACCTTAATTTTAGATTTTGACTGACTTAGAGGAGAAAATTTACTCTTGTTGCCATCACCTGTGTTACCCTAGATGTTCACTGGAACCCTGTAATACTAATTCCTTCTGACTCTTGATATATGAGTATAAACAGGACTTCCCGCCTTTACTTATTTTGAACTTTTATGAGTAACTTTGAATCATTTTTATTGTGAGCTAGAGAAAAAAACAACTTAAAAAAACTAAAGTAAGATTTTAAGTACTAAAAGTTAAATTTGTACTTGATTATTAGGTGATTATAAAATAACATATATTAATATTGAGAAAATAATCATTGGCAAATGTCTGTGATTTGAAATGAAACTATTGTATTTTTATTTTGATGTAAGTATCAGAAAATATGTAACAAAAATAACAGGTGAAGAATTTGCTTTTATGAGTTGATAAGTTTAAGTAAGTTTATTTTATAATTCAATAGGTTTTGTGCATGTATTGAAGGCAGGTGTAAAGGATAGCCTTTGCACATGCTGGTTTTACTTTTAAAAATGTTAATTTTCAATATCTAAGAAGGTACATATTTTAAAAAGTTCCTACAGTTTTAATTTATAATGTGTTATTTTAGAAAAACTTCTTACCTGACAAGCCAAATAATTCTATCCTTTTCTTTGGAACAGGACCTGGAAATAGTGTATTCCTATTTACATGGAATGGAAGCCTTATCAAACCTGAGGGAGCACCAGCTAAGGTGTGTATTGATTTTAATAATTAAATAGTGATAGAGTGAATCTCTGTGTCTGTTAGTAAGACTTGAACTTAAAGAAAATTTAGCACACAAATACCCTGCTTGATGCAATCCCTGTGCTTGCTTTGATATGTTTTGCAAGATTGAATTCAGTTGTATTCAGATACATTTTAATATTTCTGTATAGTAAGATTTTTGTACTTCTACCCAGTGTCTGTCTCCACTTTCCAACAGTAATAATCTTCAGTTGGTAAAACACTGAAAGAAGGGACTGGAGAGATGGCTCAGAGGTTAAGAGTACTGACTGCTCTTCTAGAGGTCCTGAGTTCAATTCCCAGCACCCACATGGTGGCTCACAACCATCCATAATGAGATCTGGTGCCCTTTTCTGGCCTGGAGGAATACATTCAGACAGAATACTGTATACATAATAAATAAATAAATAAATCTTAAAAAACAAAACAAAACCAAAACACCGAAAGGAGGTGATGTTTGCTCTACCTGTTGACATCTCAGCACTCAGATATATTTTAAAACATTCAGCTAGTGATTAGGCTCATTGCCCTAGCATGGTCTAGAGGTCTGTGTAGAAATATACTAACTACCTTACGTATGTAGCTAGCTTCTTTGTGGGGATCATAGTTTTTATTACACTGGTTCCAATGCAGTATGTGCTTACATATATCTTCCCACTTCTGTTGTACAATAATACACTAGCTTCATTTATAGTTACCCAAATTTCACACAAAAAAGTGACTTGGTCTTAACTGCCATAGGAGATAAAGGACCCTGAGAATATAGATGCCAACTAAGATATAATGGAGTCTTATTTCTTTCTGTTTTGTCTAGTTGTGATGCCAACCTTTTTTAATTATGAAAGGAATACCCTTTAAATACTAATTAATTTGTGAGCATGTGAGTTTCATATTTGTCTGTTAATTGAAAAAAAGTATCAAGAGGGTTGAGTGTTTCTGAAATTAATTTTTAATGAAAATCATTTAAACTAAATTGTAGATTAAGTATTTAAAAATCCAGACAGGTTTTTAGTTTTTATTAGGAAGGGCAAAAGTGGGATTTTTGAAGATGACTCAAACTGTGCCCTAGTAATTTTTAAATTATCTAACTTTCATATACTGTGATGACAGTCTTCCTAAGGAAAAAAAAATTCAGAAGTATGAATAATGCAAAACAGACCACAAAACAATCCACAGACCCCAAAACCAGCTTCAAATTTACCTACTTTTTGCCATTTCTGAGGTGATTTTTAGGTAGAAATGACTGATTAATTCAAGAGTATAGCTTAGTCTATCCTTAGGGAGTGTTTCAAAGCTTCGTATAGATTTGTCTGTTGGCAACATTGCAAGGATGCACCCTTCACTTATCCAACTGTTTCTGCAAGTGCTGAGCAGTCTAATGTGCAGCCAACAGCCTAGACTGAGGATATCTTTAGAACAAGATCATAGCTGAATTATACAGCAGAAGTAAGGGTTCATGGAAACCACTGACTGATTTGAGTAAACTGCTTTTATAATACTTCCATTTCTGGGAAAACACACATATTTCCTCTATGTAAATTGTTTCCTTTGCATTTTGTTAGGTAAGTTGGGAAGACCCAACTGACATTTTTATTTTATCCAGTTTTCCCAAGTGTAGGAGATAAAAGTCTCCAAGTGAGATTTTTTAAAATTTATGCAGCCCAACTTGGGCTGACCCCTGTGAGCATGAAAGTGACGGGGACATTTCCACAGATGTCTTTGTGTTGCTGTCAGAGCCCATATTTTTCATCTTAGTCCTTCAAGTCTTCAGATGTATTTTTCCAATACAACTTTAGGTTGTTTTTTTTTTTTTTTTCCCTTTTTTTCTGATGTTCAATCTATACAGACTAGAAGTAGATTGTTTTCTAAGAGGAGAAATGTGTCAGTCAGGATAGCAGAGCTCAGAAACTCTTAAGAACAGAATCATCACTGGAGGATATTTAATGCTGGGTACCCCCCCTTTTTTTTTTTTCCTTTGGTGTGATGGGGCTCAAACTCTGGGCCTTGTGTGTAATAGTAGACTCTACTACTGAGATATGTGCCCAGCCATATTCAGTGTTGGAAACAAACATCCTGTTGAAATACACTATCTTCCTCAGCATTTTGGATTAGTAATGATTATTTTATGGGTGAATTGAGATCAGTAAGAAATAACCAAATCAAAGTTGTCACACTGGTTCTCAGGGAGATTAGATTTTGCTTAAGCTCCCCTCTTGAATGTCTGCTTCCACACCTGTCAAATGGGGTCATGGTGGTTACTAAGTTGTTTTCTTCTTGCTCATTTGGTATTTGTTAGAAGCTTGCAAATGCAATTTGGAAAAGTTGTATCCTATTGCATAAAGCCTATATACGGCAGTGCTATAAACATTAGTTTTTTTCACTACTACTTTGTAGGAGGAATCCAATCACATTCTGAGAACAATGTGAAAGACCCATTTCAAGGAAACCTGTGATGGTTCTATGGTGAAGCAAATAAAACTTTGTGGTATAAATGCTAAAAAAAGTTATAAATATACAGAGAAGATAAACAGAAAATAACCCAATCTATTAAAAGCATTGATTCTGCTTCTAAATTAAACAACAATTGGAGATCTCGTTCCAAGGAAGAACTAAGGGTGTTATGGAACAGCCTGGTCCCAGTGTATGAGAACCAGCCCCAAGGTGCAGTGAGGACCGACAGGCAGGCAGGCAGGTAGGCAGGCCCAGGCCTGAACATGTGAACTTCCATGATAGAACTGTAGTCCTAAAGGTGCAAGCCTAGTGGGCCTGGGTGAATCAGGTCAGAAGTAGGGAGGGGGCTTACAGAGCTTCAGGACAAAAGTGACTTCATTCCAGTTGGATTGGACATGGTTTTCCTTAAGCTAACACCCAGGTTTCAGTCACTTACCTGACTCTAATGGCATCTGGGTCAGTGTTGTAAAATTCCATATCCCACCCAAATGATTTTGAATGTTTGAAGGATGTTGAGATACCACATCCAGGGAATCAGACCATGCAGGGTTACTTAGAGGCAGTCGTGGCCATTTTGTTTCAAGATGGCTGTAATATGTCAAGTGGAATCCCTGCATGGGGGATGAAAGGTAGAATAAGGCAAGTAAGCACCCAAGATTTTTTGTTGGGTCAGCAAACAGGGGAAAGATCTCAGTGTCCCCTGGTTAGAGAATAGCAGTTGTGCAAAATGAGGGTGCTGTTGGGATGTCATGCTGTGGCAGCTTTTTCATGAGAAAAAATCATCACACTGTCATTCCTGTGTATTTTGGAAGAGTTAAATGGTATTAATATAATACGATGTTTCTTAATGATGCTGTTCTTGAGATAATTTTGAATATTTAAACATTATTCATATTTCCACAGTTTTTTTCCCCATCAGGACTGTATCAGCCCATTTGCTCATCATAAAAGTACTAAGTCAATCAAAGCCTACGTTGGCTTGAAATTCCATTCTGTTCACTAACCATTAGTGTTGAGCTGAGAGTGATGTTATCACTTTTTATATAAATAGGGTTTCCTTTCTGACTTTTGGGTGCCTACTCCTTCACTAATGTTACCTTAGGGAACACACTGCCTGCCATTTACAAGTATGGAATAACCTGTCCATAAAGTACATGTGGTGAAGCTTGGCTCTTATTAAATGTCTGTTTTCTAGCACACAGGTGGAATGGATTTTAATTTGTTTTATTGAATTGTAACTCTAGTACCATTGATAACCAGTTTGAAGATGAATAATTTAGATGAGCTTATGAGTACATGAAGTAATAAACTTGAAATTTCACTCCATGGCTCATTCAGGTATCTTAGCTGTGTGTTTCTAATGACAAGTGTTGAACTCACTGTCTTTCTCTTTCACAGGCTAATGTGTGAAACGGTGAGATACGAAAGACATGAAGCAAACGAAGTTTTATACTAGTAGGTATTCCTTTCTGATTACATGTTGTATGATGCAGTGGCCAACGCCTTTAACCATCAAGTGAGGATTAGCAGCAGCTGACTCAGTTAACCTGGCCTTTTGGGAGGATGGGGCTTGGGGAAGTTAACTTACTTAAGTTTAGAAATGTGAGACATTGGACTGTTGCAGTAGTAAAATGGCCAGTTCATGTCTGTATTTACACCTGTCCTGTGATACAGATACGATTTTGTGTTGTCAAGTATTTTCTGTTTTTGTCATTGTGAAATATGAAGTAGCTTGCAGTCTTCCCAGCGTAACAGACAGATCTTCCCACAGCCACAGCAGGTGAGCTGCAAGGTAGCCCAGGCATCACAACTCAGTCTAGGAACAGCAAAATGAGCTTCTACATCTTAGGTAAAGTTTATTTTTAAAATTATACTAATATTTTTTTTAAAGATGTGGAATGTATTTCTTAAAAAGTAACAGCTGACTTTTAAAGAATGCTATAAATGGGCTAGGTGGTGATGGCGGATGCTTTTAATCCCAGCACTTGGGAGGCAGAGGCAGGCAGATGTCTGTGAGTTCAAGACCAGCCTGGTCTATAAGAGCTAGTTCTGGGACAGGCTCCAAAGCTAACAAAATCAAAACAAAACAAAAAAGAATGTGATAAATACAGAGTAAACAAATACTGGCATTCTAAGTATGTAAGCTGCTTTGCTGTGCACACTAATTGACTATATTTACCATGATGATGGCTATGCCAACACCATCCTGTTTTTCACAGCACTTCTTAATATGGTTACTCCTTTTCAGGTATATTGTAGGGAGTTCTTATTGAAAGAGAAAAAAGACAGCTACTCTCTGAAGGAGTTTGTAGTCTATAGAGAGAGGAAGAAATGAAATATCAGGAAAAATGACAAAATTGGGATACTGAGAGCATAAAGATGAGTGAGGAAGAGAGAGGGAACCCGGGAGATATTGCAGCCCTTTGATTGTGTTCCATAGTCTATGGAGACTATATTGCGGGGGGGGGGGGGGGGGGAATCAAAGAAAGCATGGAGGGAGGTTGGGGTCTGTTTCACCTGCATCACTCAATACTTTGATGCTGTGGCAGTTGTGAGCTACCATGCGGGTACTGGAAAGTGAAGCCTGAGGTCTCTGCATGAAGTAAGTACCCCTAGGTGCAGAGTCATCTCTCTAGCTCCTGGTCTTGTTTAATATGTAGCTTGGTGGCTGGTTTTCAAGCAACAAAGCACTAGGACCAAATGTCCCCAACCCTTCATGTACCTGTAAAGACAATGCATGTGGATGCATGTGGACGAGAAGTCAATGTAAGGTGAGTGGATGTGAAGGGAAATAGCTGAGGAGCCAGCTGCAGGGATGTGAAGGAAGGAGGAAGAGCCTAGACACATAGGCAGGGTTCAGATTTGGAGAGATTGGTAGGTGGGAGTTGGCATAATCCTTAGACTACAGCATAAGAAACTGTTATTCATCCATTGATTATAAATGTTCCAACAGCAAAGCTGTGTAGTAGTTAATCAAGGAATGATTGATAGTGACAACAACTGACCACAGAAAAGATGCTTTTAATGTAGTTCTGAAGAAACTGAAGTACAAATACATGTCTCCTTTTGGAGCCCATGGAGTAGGTGTACAGGCGTCCGGGTGGAAACCTCCTGTGAATGTTATTAAATATACTGAAGAAGTTCCCTGAGGGGCAACACTAGGCTTCCATCAGTTTGTCCTTCCCCTCAGATATGTGATTTAACAGTGAGCTGATGGCAATTGTGTAACAGGCACTTCCTGAATGCTCTAGAGCGTGATGTGTGTTGATTTTTTTACTCTTTGTAGATGTCTCTTGGGTCAGCTGTTCTCATCACACCAATTTTCCACTAAGGAAATAGAGCTTTAGGAAGATCGGGGATTAGTCTAGCTCCTATCACTTGAAGTGGGATCTGGACTTGAGCCCAGATCTTGGGGTTTTGCAGCCCTCCCTTCCCCCGCCACAATCACAGACATTTTTTGGCCATTTTATCCTAAAATGATAATGTTCTTGTATATGATGGTGAACACTCATTCACCACCTGTCACCATCCTCCCAAAGCCCTGATGGTAGTAACGGGACCTACCAGCACTTCTGTCTTACACAACCGTAGTTCACTGATAGCGATTATTTATTACCCCTTTTATTAGAGGTGTGTCAGTGTCCTTAAACAGCCTGGGTATTTGTTTTTACACCTGCTGACAATGCTCAGTCCATACTCTAGTAGTCTTATATGGAGTGTGTTTGACTTGGTTCTCCCAGTCGCTCACATATGTCTGCTTAGAATTAGATGCCAGTGGTGGTGAGCAATGAAAAGTCTGGATATGGATACTCAGTAAATCTTGATTTCATAAGACTAAAAATTCATAGAGTCTAGCTGCAGATTCACATAGATGGGTTCTTGGTGTTTTGCTGATGTACTTACAAAGCATAAAAGAGGTGTTTTCTTTTGTGGTCCTGTAGCATACATGCATCTGCTCTTGCCAGTTTGTGTAAGTGTAGTTTGAAACCTAAAGAGCAGCTGTGTTTGTGGTTTATGTAGGTCCACAATACCTTAAGAATACCCTCTTTTGGGGAGCTGCTCTAAGGACCTTGAGTGCAGTGACTGATCTTGTTCTCTCTGGAGCTTGGTCTGAAGACCAGTGCAATCAGAGTATCGATGACTTTCAGACTTTGCTTTTATGAGCAAGAGATGACTAGCCATTTTCCTTACTAAGTTTGTGTGCCATGACTTTAGTAATTTACCAGGGAAATATGGTATTCTTTTGATGCAACACTATATATATATTACATCTTCTTCATCTATAGAAGGGAAACAGTAATGTCATTTCTTCAGAGTAAGATGTGCACAGTCCTTTGACCAGCATCTCTACTCAGGGTTCATGCACCTCTACTGATGGCATGGGCACCCCTCCTGAGAATGTGTGCACCCCTACTGAGGTCAGGGACACCTCTTTTGAGGAGACACGCCCTTCTGATGCCTTAACCCCAGTGCTTAGGAGGCTGAGGTAGGGGAAGAGGAGCAAGGAGGAGCCTAGCCTGGTTAGAGAGTGGTGCCCTCCCTGGCAAACAAAAAGGAGAGTAGTGAAAAATCACAGCATACAATCAAGTAAGTGGGAATTTGTGGAGAAATTCTCTGGGTGCTTTCATAATGCAGCACTATGACTGAGTTCTTAGTGCCAGTCTGCTGTGGCTTTTCCTAACTGGCTGGCCAGCCTCATCATTTGCATTCACAGTGTTTAATTGTATCAGGAAACCAGCTGTTGGAGACAACTACCCTCAATATATGTAGCAGTGCCTCAGTGATCCTTTTCCACATGCAGATCTGATTGAATGCTTTCGTTTCTAACAGAGTTTTCATAGCACTTTAAGGGTTTATCTCTTTATTTCAGGAGAGGAAATTGTTCATCTTCGAAACAGCTGCTTTGAGGCCTATTAGGTCTTGCAAAAGCCTTTTCATTTACCTCTGTTAATGGGCAGTTTAGCAGACTCCACTGAGGGTTCTCTGCTTTTAGCAGCCTCCTTCAGTGTTGGCTTGGCTTGGCTTTCTGGTTATAGGGCAGATACCTCCCCATTGCTGTCCTGACTCTGCTGCTCCTCCTCACGTGGCCCGGGCATTACTTTCTCTTCCCCAACAACTGCCCCCCCTCCCTCCCTCCCTCCGTCCCTCTGTCTCCCACCTGCCCCCAGCAGGAAGAGAGGCTCTTTTCTAGTGCAGAATGACAGAATCCATTCTCTGAAGCCCTGTCTGCTGCTTGCTTACAGATTGTACACGGCCTCATGGTCTCCCATCATGGAGAAATTTCTCATTTGCCCTCTTCTCCCTCTTCAGTAATTGCATAATATAATTTTTCTTTTCTGGATGTGGCTGAGCTTTTATTTTACATAATAGTCTAAATAAGCACTTGATCTACTATTTGTGTTGCTTTACCTCTTTTGCAAAAAGGCTTTGTTTCTTGTCATTTCTTACCCAGAGATATGTAACTGCTATTTTGAAATAATCTTCTCTGTCCAAGACTTATTTTAACACATGATTATGTGTATACAAACAAAGTGACTAAAGTAAGGTTTTAATTTATTTGGAAAAAAAATCATGGTATCTTTGAATAATTAGTCTTAGCATGGATGAGACTATTTATCTGCAAACTGGCATGTTTATAGAAGGTATTTTTGTTTCCAGTTTTCTATGAAACTGCCAGGTGAATAAAAGCCAGTCTTTAATGTTCCTAGAATGATGAGGCTTACTTTATATGCATTCTGATCATGTGAGTGGGCATGCTACAAGCTAGTGCAGAGATGGATTGGCTTTGAGCTAGATCTCCCCCAGTGTATGTGGGGTCTCCTTAACCTTTCTAAGAGCCCAATTACTCCAGGTGAGAACAGGTTTCTTGTGAGGATGAAATTATAGTGTGTGAATCACTAACCGTTAGCAGTTTCCAAGTCAGTTTTCATGTTTGACTGCTTGCTTAAATTTGATTGTTCCTCAAGCTCTTGGCTGTGTCCTTCTGCTCTTAGTGTAGTTGAGTCATTGATTTGATTTACTGTAATGCATATGCAGTTTATATCATCTTTGTCTAAAATAATGTTCATTGAGTAACTTCATAACTCCTAGTGCAATGCTCTGTTTCATTTTCAAGTGAATTCTGTTAACTTAAGAATGGCAGCATTAAGAGCCCATGGAATGTCTGGCTTTGTTAGTTCCTCACTTTATGTGTTCACTCTGCTGTTTAAATGAATTATCACTTGATGTTCACTTTGTCCCTGTATTTTCAACATAAGGCTGAAAATCTCAGTACCTTCAGTTCTTTGAGCTCTCCTGGATGTTATGGCTTTGGATTTCAAACCTGTTGAATGGTGCTTCTCTGCTCTTTTGGTTAGTTAGATTGATTGATTCATTTTTGAGACAAGTTGTCAGTCTGTAGCCTGAGCTGTTCTGGAAGTCAAGTTTGACTTGTAGTGATCCAACTGCCACAACCT